CCTCCTCCCTCGTGTGTCCTCGTCCTCCACCGACGTACCGTCGTCGTCGACGGAGTTATATATATATATATATATATATATATATATATATATATTTGCATTTAGAAGTTTTTTAGACCTACTTTATGTTCAAATGAGCAAGCACGCATGATCTGTCAGCACACTGAATAGCTTTTCCTGTCTTCATGCTTCGACACCACCCTTACTGAAACATTACTTTTTTGCGCATTATCTTCCACTATCGGCCTCAAAAACATTTTAGAACGCTTTATAGCCTAAAACCTTCAATCGATTGCACCAAGCAATTGATGACGTCGTAACGTCATAATGTGACTGCGCCATGACTGGCTGAATAGGCAGATCTGTTACAGGACGACAGACAGACCTCGGATCGAAAAAATCGGCACGTCACTTTCTTGGCCTCGTCAAAACACGCATTTAATGTATTCATCACTTTGCTCTAGCTGGCCTGTGGTCTGAGATATCGTGTCACAACGCCACAAACACAAAGTCACAATCCCAAAAACACACAAAGTTCTTCCTTTTATATATATATATAGATTACTTATTGTCTTATTCATACCTAACTGATACTTAGATAACTTAATTTGTAATTAATAATTTAACAGTTTAACAGTAATATACTAAACAGGATCCTAATTTTACAAAGGTGGTAAAAAAATTTTCCTTTATTAATTCACAAAATGAATGTAATTAATATTGAAATAATTGTCTGATTTTTAATCACTGCATTCTTTCATTTTTTGTGTTTTAGGAAAGAGGAATGAGAAATAAGAAATACAAGCAAAGTACACTGAGCTGTGGATTTGCAGCAACACCAGCATCAAACCCACCAAATTCAACAGAGACACTCACATCAAACCCACCAAGTTCAACAGAGATGCTCACATCAAATCCAGCTACTTCAACACTGCTAGAAAAGCCAACGTCCACTCTTCAAACAGGTTGTGCTTATTCATTTGACTTGGGAATTGATATTCCTAAACAGCCCAAACTTGGCCAATACCCTGAAACCAATAAGCAACGATTTTGTCCACAGTGGTATAATAATAGGCCTTGGCTTGAGTATTCAGTGATAAAAAATGCTGCCTTTTGCCACTGTTGTAGGAAGTTTGGCATGAGCAGTGCGGAGAAAAGTTTCACTGATGAAGGTTACACAAATTGGAAGATGGCATTGTCATCTAGTAAAGGAATCAGGAAGCATGAGACCTCAAGTGACTGTCTCCAATGTATGACAATTTGGATGGAACATCAGATACACATTACGAAAAAGATGGAAGTCAGCACCCTTCTCAGTGATGCTCAGCTAGAGTTTCATAACCACTATCGGTGGGCAATTATCGAGATCATACAGATTCTAGCTGGGAAGAAAAGCGCCTTAAGGGGCAACTATATCAATGAACTTGGTATGGAGGATGGATTTTTTTCAGACCATGTTCAACTTTGCCACCAGCAGAGATAAGAAACTAAAAGAAATTCATAGCTCAATTCCACGCAGTGCAAAGTATACATCACCTGAAATACATAATCAAATTCACGGTCATCTCACGAAAACTATCCAGCAAAGAATCCGAAATGAAGTGGTGATAAGAAGCACACAATAAAGGTTGATGAAACTCGTGATAAGTGCAACCATGAAAATCTCTGCTTATGTGTGAGGTACTTACAAAACGGAAATATTGTTAAACATCTACTTGCAGTTATTCAAGTTTCTAATATTGATGCACATTCTTTGACTGACTCCATCATAGCAATACTTCAAGAGCATAGCTTCAGTTTGGAAAACGTTCTTAGCCAATGCTATGATGGAGCTAGTGTGATGTTGGGACGATCTGGGGTGTTCAAGAACTTCTCCAGGAAAGACTGGGCTGATCTGTCCCTTACGTGCACTGCCTAAACCACCAGTTACACCTTGTAGTTGTGCATGCAATTTCGGCTGCAGATGTTGATGTGGACGCCTTTTTTGTCACTTGCAACATCCTGTACAACTTCATACGTTAGCCAATTGTGTCTGTTCACTACACTGGGCAAGCACTGAAACGACTGTTGGGACAGCAGTGGACTGGCCACCTAGCTACTGTGAAAGTCATCACTGGATCATATTAAGCTATGTTGACGATTCTGTTGGACATTGCCACAAATGAGAATAACACATTTTTACCTGAATTACTGGTGGAGGCAATCGGATTGTTAAAGCTGATCAAAAAAGAAACCCTTTCTGTTCCTTGTTGTAGCTGTCCACAAAGCATTGAGTATACTAGCGCCTGTCAACATTCATCTACTATCAGTCAGTATCAATCTGAATTAGGCCTTGATGCTGATATCTTCGTGAGCATCCATTGCTTTGTTGAGAACTGATGAAACATTTACCACTTTGCTGGATGAAGTTAAGCTGATTCTGCAAAATACTGCAGGTGATGATGACAGTGTAACAGTAGAAGACCATCAGCCTGCAGAAAAGAGAAGACGTCGTGAAAACTCTGGTTTCAAAGACTACATTGCTGACCATCTCCACAGAGTTAACACCAATTTGTCAGAAAATGATAACCTCAAACGATCGTAGTTCTGGTTGAGCTTGATGAACGTTTCTCGGAGAAAAAGTCGCATCTTATTCGTGCCATGGAGTCACTAGATCCCAAATCAGAACATGTTTTTGACAAGGACCGAATGGGATTTCTCACAGACTTGGTCAGCCTAGAAATGGACAGCTTTATTTTTGCTCAAATTGATGTTGCCAAAAAGTACATCAGTGACCACTGGAGGAAAAACGACAAGTATAACCTGGCGTCTGTTTTGCAACAGCTTTTCCATTTGAAATCGAAGGGCTTTCCAGCCATTACATAACTACATGAGATAGCATTAACAATTAGATCCTCAACTGCAACATGTGAAAGAGTTTTTTCTGCTCTGACAAATGTGCTTACAGACCTCTGTCAGTCGATGTCTCATGAAAGACTGGCGAACTTTATCCTCATCATGCTTGAGAAGTGCATCCTTGATGATATATGTCAGAGTGTTGATGGAAAGCATAAGATATTGAGAGACTTCAATTCTACTCAGAATAGACGATTACAGTTGTTTTAATAACAAAATTTGGACTTGGTTTACCTTGCTTTAATTAATTACAAGGGTCCAATCAACTTTCCCTGAGACTGGCTCGTTCTTTCTGTTTGGATTAACCTACCAGTTCATAACTAACTTAAGCTCTTGTTTTTTCATGTATTAATTCGCGTATGAATTAATAAGGAACATCAATAAATGATAACAAAAATTTATAGTGAAAACTGAAAATGATTACTATGTACTCGCGTCCTTTGAGTTTGTCATTGTACTCTCAATGTGTGCGTCCTGGTTACGACACTGATCTCTAGTCAGAGCCAGCCTTCGGGCGAGGCCTCTGAGGGAACCACTTCAGGCCCCCGTGTTTCATTGGCTAAGTCGATTGTATATTTCTAGTATCCAAACTCGAGAACCTAACCCTGAGTTCTCACCTCAAGCCCTTCACACCCCCCCCCCCCCAAGGCCGGGCCTGTCTCTGAGAAGTAATTAAGCATTGCATTATTTTGTGAAGTGACAAAACGATGTCCTTTATAACCATGAAAAACATATGTTTTAATATATTATGTCACAGGTGTGTCCCACAAAATGTATTTTAAACCAATGGCTGAGCATTGTATTCATAGATATTTTTTACATTATAATTATCTGTTTAAGAGATTGTGCTGTTAAATCTATATATTCATGTAGACAATAATGTTTAGACTGTGTTGACCTTACTCTTGTCCTAATAACACATTGCCAGATATCATTCTCTGTAAGTAGTTTTTAAAGTGTCACTGGTGGTACTAATGAATTCTCTAGTTGCACCACTTATAGAGGTTTAAAAATACATAGAGATTCTGCCTTTCCTATTGTTGCTAGTATAGTTACCAGATAATATGTTTGTCTAATGTACTATGGAAAATCTTATTATATTCAAATAAGTGCATAGTAGTTGATTCTTTCTGTCTTTTCCAAATTCTATCTTAGGTTCGACTAGCTGTATTGATTTGTTTATTTTGTGTGTTAGTTACAAATGAACAAATGTCTTCTGTTTCACACTGAAGCTTGTACTCATCTTCTTTTCATCAACTCATTCAGGCCAGAATTCAGTGTAATATCACTGTACAATTTTTGCCAAATCTCTTGTTAGAGCAGGCACTCTTCTTACTTGTAGAAAATAGTTATACCTGAGAATACCACAAACATAGAAACCAGCCAATTATATCTTAATTATAACTGCAAACTTTAATATAAAATCAAAGTTATATGAAATAAAGGTTTTTTTTCGTTTTTTTTTCGCCTTTCCTGCTGTCATTGTTTTCCCCTTCTGAATCAATAATTTGCAAGAGCTCATTAACAAGAAAAGGGTACTTTTTGAGCATCTTAAGGCAAATCTCTCTTTTCTTTTTTTTTTTTTTGGAGTGGGTGAGTAGCAAGAGCCAGAAGATACTATGGGTTGCCTCTGGTATACATAGAGTAAAAATCCATAGAAAGCAAACAGATCCACTTTTATTCCTGTTCAATAGATCTTATAAACACTTTTATTATCTGAAACTAAACAGTAAATTGTAGCATATTAACCCTTGATAGCATATTACAATTATTATTGTTTACTGTAAAGTTCTACAAGACCCTGTGTTCTGTTTAGTTTACAGCTGAAACTATTTTTTCTTTCTTAATAATTCACAAGCAAAGTGGTGTGCAATCAGTTTTATCTTTTCGTAGTTGTTGACAATTTTTATGACAGAGAAAAAAGTGCATTTTTGGGGCATAAGGGCAGGAAGATAGGGCCTTCAGCCCCCCCCCCGTTCACGTTATTGTTCTACATGCACTTTTCTTCCATCTTCACCTATTGCAGGCTTTCAGCTTACATATTGTTGTTGGAAATACAAAAAAGATGAATACAACTGATATTCTTAAAATGTTTAAAAATTATGTTTTTCCTGTCATTGAGTGTGAATGTATAACCACCCTTTCCATGATTGTTTGAAGTTAAGCATAAAGCAACACAATGGGCTATTTGTGTTCTGCCCACCACGGGTATCGAAACTGGAATTTTAGGATTGTAAGTTCGTCCCTCTCCATGAAAAAAGGACACTGCCTTAACCAAAGACGTGCCTAAAATGGAGCTAGATATATATATTTGACTTTTCGTTCTATGGTCTATGGTCAAAGGACATGTCATCACATTTGTAATTTTATTGAACTACTATTTTATGAATGTATATCAATATGTTTTGTATTACATTGTAGATTAGAATTCAAATTTAATATTACACGTTAGTTAATTTCTTAATTTGAAATTAAATATTAATAAAAGTTCCTAAATATGGATTATTGTGTGTCACGTGGTATATTGAATACAGCTTTGGTTCAAATTATGTATTTGTGATGTCCAAATACAAAGTATATAGTTTCTTACGAATTATACTCTAAATTGCCGATATAGACAATCTAGAATATAAAATAAGAACCTCCTATCTTTTCTGTTTGCTGAAATATCGCTATATTTGATGAATCAAACACAGTGGCCCCATCCACCACTTTCCATTTTTGGAAATACTTCTTTACATACACCCGTTTCGATATCGCACAGCTTTATAACCAATCAAAAGCTCAGAATTTTGGTTTTCTTAGGTTCTTGAAGGTGGAAGTTACCAAGAATATTTCTTTTGTCTCGAATCTCGGAAGGAAGGGGTAAGTGAAAATGTTGTTTCAAAAACAATATTTTTAGACCGAAATACAGTTTAGTTACTAAGCCTGATAATTACAATGGAATTCTGCCATATCGATTGAGTAATTTATAAATTTTTCTTATTTTAAAATGCTGATATAAAACCTAAAAAAGTGACACAGCGGAATGTCTGCGGACTTACAACGCTAGAAACCGGGTTTTGATACCCGTGGTGGGCAGCGCACAGATAGCCCATTGAGTAGCTTTGTACTTAATTACAAACAGACAACCCACGTGCGAAATTCGGCAAGGCTTAGCATAGAAGGTATGGCAGGTACAGCAAGCAAGTACAAACTTCTTTACAATCGTAAGTAGTAGAGATCATTGTTTTCTATATTCCATTATTTATTGTTCTATGTTTTAAGAAAAATAACTGAAATATAATAACTTATTTGTAAATATATATATACGTATTTATTCTTATTATAATGGAGTTTGCAACCTATACTTCAAAACTTGAATTTCGGAAATACCGCACTGATCATCACCAATCACACCTGGGTTATATTTTTATAGCTAAACAATAAATAATACAATTGAAATTTACACAAAAGTGACATCTTTCAAATTTAACCAATACAAATTACAAAAAAGAGTAAGTGTACTATAATCGAAATGTGAGTGTATTTTACAAACCAGTGGTCCACCAGAACAAAGCCAAGACAGATCACTTTGCAAAGGTTAGTTTGTTTGTAATTAAGCACAAAGCTACATAATATGCTATCTGTACTCTGCCCACCACGGGTATCGAAACCCGGATTCTAGCGTTGTAAGTCCGCAGACATACCGCTGTACCACTGGGGCTTTGTAAAAGGCACTGTACTACTGGATAGGGAAACAAGAGTACAGGTGCGCGGCGTTAGCTAGACTGGGCTGAAAGGTCAATAAAATATTAAATATATATAGATGTATAATTTTATCAGATTTAAGCTATTTATAATAAACGTTTGTGGTTTCTTGTTGTAATTTGTAGTCGTTCTAGAACGATAAAAAGCGTAATATATATCTATTTACAATTTTTTATGGTGGTTACCGGGTCATTCAAATGGACCAAACCCATATAGAGATACAATAGTGAAAATAACAAATATATTAAACAGTTTTTTACAAAATAAAGTTTGATAATTAGCTGGAGGTTATACACATTTCGCATGTGAAACTTGAAAATTTTCCGATGCATAAAAGTATATTTGATTTTAAAATCAAAATTACTTTACATGTTGAGAAAAACATTACTTAAAAACCTTAAAACTTAATAAAAAAATCAGATATTTTGTGTACAAAAGCCTTGTAATGATTACTAGTAATTGCAAAAATCGTGAAGATACACAAACTGTATTAAAAGTTATATAATGGAAATTAAAACAAGCACAAAATGGTTACGAGGTCGATCCCTGGGACCGAGCCCATAATGATAGATTTGTTCACAGAATGTTTCATTTTTCTATTACAAGTATGTCCTCTGTGGCTCACTGTCAATCTTGAAGGCTTAGAGCACTAAAACTCTAGGTTCAATTCTAACCGTGTGTCAGGGTTTAATGTGTGAGTGGGCTGGAATTCGTCTACAATAGGTGTCTGTGACTTGTTGACGATAAATGTCAAAAATAAATGGACAGCACATAATCCACTTAAAATAATATATTCAAAACAAACAAATGTATATTCAAAATTTTTTATACTATATGATATCACAGTTGTTTCCAAAACTTTAAATAATTCTTCATTTTTTTTGTAAAAAATTCACACAGGCTGATTCAATTACTTTAGAATCCAAGTGAAAAGATGAATTATTTTTCCCTATTCTGTTTCATACAATACAATCTGCGAAAAATTCACTTATGTTACCCCATGGGTTACCACAGTTGTATCCTAAACTTTAAATAGTTGTCTCATTTTTGTCAAATTCCACACAGGCTGATTAAATTACTTTAGAACACGTTTTAAAAAGACAAATTATTCTCCTTATCTCTGTTAAACTACGAAACTCACTTTAAGATCACCCGTTATGGCTAATCACTCACATGCTGGCTAACTTCACGTTTTCTAACTATTTTTCTGACTTCACTTGACTTGTGCTTTCTTGGTCACCTATATATATATAGAGCTTAATTGAGGCTTCGAACTTTCTACAGACTAGTAGACGCTATAATTTAACAATACTCACACAGCGAGAAAAGTTTAGAAGTTTCGAGATAAATGACGTCAACGATACTACAACAATTGAACTACACACACACAACGTACGACTCTTACCGAATTTTGTTATAACTATCTTCTAGTAATGAAAATTTCTTTACATTTTGTAATTTTACTGCATACAGTACCGAACATCACTTAAAAACCCGCTGATTCATAGACACACTAAAATGATTTCAAGACCTTATCAAAAGAACCAAACTGACCTACTTTGTGACGCAACAAGGCTCCATATGAAATTTTGTTAAGATCCATCCATAGCTGTGTAAGTGGTGAAGTAATTGTAAAAAAACGCCCATATAAACTGCAAAACACAAAATGTGAAACCGCAACTATGAATGTACCTCTGCATGGATCCAACAAACCTTCATACCAATTTGGTGAAGATCCATTAACAGGGGGCGAAGTAGTGGTAAAAAAGCAAAAACGCCCATAAAAATACAAAACTGAAAATTTGTATTTATTTCCCCATGGACCCAACAAATCTCCGTGCCAAATCTGATAAAGATACATCAACAGGAGACGAAGTAGTAGTAAAATATACACATAAAAACCGCAAAACTAAAAATTTGTATGTTCCCTCGCATAAACCTAATGAACCTCCATACCAGTTTTTGTGAAGATCCATCCTCACCCTGCGAAGTAGCTATATGAACATACAACAGATAGTACTATTATATTTATATCAATTGAAAAAGATAAAGACCATAACAAGTTAATCAAATCTTTCTTAAAATTGTCTCTTATTCCTTCTGATCCGACACAATCGATTGACTGTATAGTAAAAACTAACTTTCATAATTTTTATGTTTATCCTTTCATTTGGTTTAATTGTCTTCGAAGCTCAAATTATCTTTTTATTCCTTTTTAGATCATCAAAGGAGAACGCAAAGTTTTAGTTTATACCAGCATTTTTTTGTTTTTACGATAGAACTAATAACATAACTTTAAAGATGTTGATCATCTCAGGAGTGTATTCAACTCAAAGATTTTTTTCTGTCTGTGTTGAGGGGTTACCTGTCACTCATAAATAAAAGTAGTTATTATTAACTTTAATTTTTAGCAATTCTTCGAATAATTTTATTACATAATTCTACCATTTTAAAAAGCATGCATTCATGTTACTGTATGGCGCTAGTGGCGTCGTACTTTTTATTTTAATGCGAGATTGAGTTAAATTTAGTGTTTGAGGATGTTTAGGAATTGGTTGAAATAACTGTCGTACTGACGAGAGAAAGCTATCTTGTGAGAAAAGTAAGTTGAGCAAAACAATTTTTTTTGTCATTAGTGAAAACTCAAAAAGGGGTAGAAATTCCTTTATCTAGAATTTCTGCATAGATATATGTCATGTTTCAAGGTCAATTCATTATTCACTTCAGTTTATGAATTAATCTGCAAAGCAGACTGGAGGTTTGAAACTGTGTTTCTAAAAAAACCAAACAAAAAAACAAGTTAGTGTAAAAATCGTACATTGTTGTTTTCGTTTACATCAGTCATCTAAAAAACATGAGACTATGCTGACACTAAACGAGTTACTCTTACTTTTCTAGTCAGAATTTTCATTTTCTTAGTAAGAAGAAATCCTCCACAACCTAAAGAAATTCTTAAACCTCAAACTATGTAACCAACTTAACTTGATAAATTTGTTTGTACTGGCAACAAGATTAATTTTCTTCTTATTATTATTATTAATTTTTATCATTGTAAAGAACCTGATTAAGTGACATAGAAAATGTGTTGATATAATTTCTCTTATTGTTGTGTTTGTAACCTCAACTGCAAGCAATAATATTTTTACATAACCTTTCAGTTTACTTCATACAAACAAAACAATACCTCCCCACATTTTTTTTATCAACATTTCTAGTCTTTATAATATTCATTTAACCAGGAATCAGCATTATTAGGGAAACTTAACATGCAAACCACCACCATAGGTAATACATGTAATTCTACACATATCCTATTAGAAAAAAATTATTGTAAAATAAACTTAAGCTAATCATCATCCATATCAGTATTACCATCCAGTCTATTCAGTTTACATTCTCCAAAATCCTTGACATGATCTTTCAAACTCAAAAGATTTGTCTCCAAGCTATCTAAACTTTAAAAACTCACAATTTTTAAAAAACAATGATTATTTTATACACAATTGTATAAAAATGAGATTGTTTTCAGTCTCCAAATTATTAAAATACAATATCTTACTGTACAGAATAAAAAATGGTAAAAAAACCCTGATGAAACTGGAAAACAATCTCATACACTACATGTTTTGATGTATACTACTGCATCATCCTCAGGAGTGCAATGTTTTGCAAAAAATAATATTTATACAATAATCAAAACACAAATTTACATATTAAAGAATTTCACTCCATCTGCTTACAACATTTCTATTTTGATAGAGCTAGCCAATTTAGTTTACTACGTATGAGTAGCAATTACAAACATTTGTGTTATGTAAACTAATCAATTAATTGAAATTAGTTTTTCTGAATTTTACTGTTTTCTATTATTTGAACAACCAATTAATTAAAATTGTGAGTAAATTGATCACAAAAATAATCAACTAATCAAAATTATGAATAAATCGATTGTCACAAAAGTAATCAACTAATTTAAATTAGGGTTTTTATTTATTACAATTTTTGATTATTTCAACTGCCCTAGTAAATTATTGTTATTATGCTTGTTCATCACAAAGCTACATAATGGACTGTCTATGCTCTGCACAATTTCAGACTTATAAATTTTTTATTTAAAGTTCAGCTTTGGTGAATTGGGGTGCAATGAGCTCATAATTTGAGGTTCTTGGATTTGATTACCATTGCTACCACACTTGCTCATCCTATCTTTGTTTTGCAAAGCTACTTTTATATTTTACAGAAATGCATGTGCATTAAGCATGTTTGAACATGTTTTTGAGTTTGAATATGCTTGCTTTGTAATTTTCTAAATTTTTTTTTTACAAATTCAGTGTTTTGTTGTGTTCTGAGAATTCTCTTAATAAATACAAAAACAGGGATGATTAATTCTAACTTTTGAAGGAGAGGTGTTATGAAGTTGTTTAGCTATTAATAAGTGCATAAACAGGAATACTAATTAAAATCTTTGAAGGTGGGTTGAGTAGTCACAGTATCAACATTACTGCAATGGTTCTTAGTTTTAAAAGAATTTTTAGAAAGAGCATATCTTAGTAGCCAAATATTTGATTTTGTGTGTTTAGATAAAAATACAAATTAATTGAAATACCACAACTCTATATATTTTTGTTGAATTTTGACACCTACTAGTGAGAGATAAAATAGTTTTATCCATAAATTTTTTTTTCATTTAGAAAAAAAAGGTTATCTAGGTTATGCAAAAGAACTACGAAAACTGTAAGATGACAATAAGTATTTTTATTCGTAATATGAAAATCATCTTTCACTTAGAATGACTCAGTAAAAATTCTTACCAAAAGCGTGCAAAGTTTCATGAAAATATACTCTTTTTTTCAGAGTTATAGAATGTATTAGTTTCATGATAACAAGGTAGTTCTAAGGTAGGTTAAATCAACCACCTTTCTAGTTAAAGAGTTAAATCACTCTTTTTTTTTTTTTCTTCTAATTTGTTTAAAAAGCAGGAGCTTCAGGGTGCTTTGCCTTTTCCTTCCCACTCTAGGGGCCTTGCAACCCTGAAATTCCCTTCCTTTTCAGACCTTTTTTCTCTCTTGCATTTTGTCTTGACTGGTTCTTTATCTTCATGAGATACAAGTTTGGTTTGTGATAAAAGCTGAAAAGAGATGCTGGTTACTTTGTAGAAGATATTGATGAAAAAAAATATTTATCCAAACTACTTACTTATTCACTTTTAAACTGTAAAATCAAACATAATTTTTAAATATTTATATATTCTCTAATGAAACTGAATTTAAAAAAACTTTTCAGAACATTTCCTCTGTATACTTTTAAATACAATAAAATGTTTTTTTTATTAGTTTTCTTAAAATTTTTAGAGATTTGAATTTGAGATTTATTGTATAGGAGATGAATACAAAATCTTTGATATTTCAGTCTTTTAGGCCACTCTAGAGTTAAGAATGTTCATTTGCAGCAATTGGCAAATTTTATATGTTTCCTGCAGCTGGTTTTGGACAAGAAACACAAATCTTTATTGACATTACAGCTGGCGGATAAATATAATTTACTAAATGATTAATCATTGGGCTTATTAACTGATACTTTCAACAAGATAGCTAGGTAATTGATTATCCATGAGCAGTGATAATATAGATCAGTGTCATGTAACATAATTGAAATTATGATTAAATTTATTGTCACAAAAATAATCAACTAATTGAAATTAGGGCTTCCATTCATTACTCTTTTTGATTATTCCAATTATTCAAGTAATTGAAATATTGCCATTATCTATGTTTACTGTTAATCACCAAACTACATAATAGGGGGGGTCTTCATAATTTGAGGGTTACAGGTTCAATTCAAACTTCACTAAATTGATTCACCTGATCTTTGTTTTTGTAAAGCTACTAAGGCCAACTGCTACTGTCACTAATGTTTTTAGAATTGCTGACTAGAGGGAAGGTAACTTACTGGCTGGCAGCATTCACTGCCAACTCTCTGGCTATTTAAGTGTTAAATAAAGTCTAAATTTTTTGTTCTTTGCATTGTATTATGTTTTTAACATAATTTCATTACTGTATTTTTTAATGATATATAAGTAAGTGCAGATTTAGGGGAGTGATCCAGCAGATCTGGATTCTTTCACCATCTTTTTTTTTTTCACAAATAGATAACTTGTATCTCTTTAATGTTGTCCAGGGGGCTAAATCTCCATCACCCATTTTTTCAAAAATTAATAATTCATGTTGTATAAGTAAGCATAGATTGAGGGATCAGAACCCCCTCCACTTCTTTCAGAAGTTAATAACAAGAGCAAGGCATCCTTACACTATCATATAGTATCAGAAAGAAACATTAGTTATCAGTATTTCTATTTGATTGGGCTATTAGTTACCATAAAAGATATTTGAGGTTTTCTGAAATCATTACAACTGGAGTCTACAGCCTCAGCCAGTAACTAATTATTTCTAAGCTAATAGAAAAATATGAATTTAAATTAAACCTTGCATTGGAAAATTTTGTGCCTCTGCTTTTTTTCAGACACTTAACGTTGTATTTAGACTTTGAAGGTTGGTTTCATCAAAGTTAGTATTGTTTAAGACACTTGCAGCTCTTATAACAAAACTTTTTACTGAATTGATTTTTTCTCATTTAGAAGTTAGAATTATTACAAGAAAGATGTTTTTTGTATTGTGTAAGATAAGTGAAAATGCAAATATGACTGTATAAGTAACAAATTTTTAAAACAATCTGAACATAGACATCCTGTTTATCAATGCTATAATTTTCTTTCTAAATATGAATATAAATAATTATAAGTGTTTAATTTTAATAAAGAAATATGAAACGATTGTTATTAACTGTTTTTATTTCATATCAATCACATTACTAGAAATAAAGATATAAGCTTTGAAATTGCTGGATTATAACTTAACTGAACTGATCTTTTATAGAATATATTAATGTTATTTTAACTTGCTTAGATTACTGTAGGACTCTATGGTCAACAGTGATTAATCCAAAATACTGTATTATTATTATAGTTGAAATCTTTTTCTTTCATACAAAAACACTGAAATTATGGTTATAATGTTAAACACTAACTTTTATAAGTTAACTGGTATCATACCATTTTGAAAATTAAACATTCCTGCAACTAGTATAGAGAAGTTATAACATTGTTACTTGTTAGCATAACAATACTATATTATCTGAATAGGCTTTCTAGTTTTATTTTTATTCATTCCATAATGGTTTTCAAAATTTGGAAGATAGTTATAACTATAAAAGTTTTATTTTACAAAATAAACTGATGTTATTAAAATTTTTATATTGTGTGACTTTAGATTTAGACTACTTTTAGAATTTAAAAAAAATACTAGCTTTTGATTTTGACAAAGTACTTGTTTGCCTAATAAATAAAAAGAGTTATTTTTATTCATTTTCTCTGATCGATTACAAAGTGTTTGAGTTACTGTGTAATTATAAGTACAACACTTAAGGTCCCAATGTTGTCATAAACTAGGAGTGCTAGATTATGTTTAATGGATTAAATGTTTAAATGTAATTATATCAATTTTAAAAGAATACTGAGAAAGTCAATCATTTTCTTATACAAGTTACTGTTTTACCTATCATGTCACAATTGGCAATTATTATAGTACACAATAGGCCTAATTCTGATTAAGTAAAGTTGATGATGTCATTATGTAGTATTGTTGACTGTTTAACATTAAAAATTGTAATGACTTTGAAGCTTCATTAAATTTGAAACAGTTTAAGTTATCAATAAATGTGCCATGCAAAAAAAAATCAATCTTTTTTCTGTTTTTTATTTGAACAAGTGAAAAATAAAAATGGGAACTGATCTTGTGGCTAGTACATGATCGGTACATAACATTATGTGACCATTGTGAGAGACAAAACTTGTTGAGGTTTATTGCCTAAATATTTCATTCACATCAGCCATAAATTCAGTCTTTTGATGTCACTCTACACAACTTGAACTAAATCTTTTTCTAAAACAAACAAAGTATTCCAACCAAAGTCAAATAAAGTGACAACATTTGAAAGTTTTAATTTTGCAAAGAGAGGAATCTTCAAGTCAGTTACCTAAAGATTTTTTTAAAACTGACCTTATTAAAAAATGCTTCTAATTATATCTTTGTTACTTATGTAATGATCAACCTTCCAACCTAAAAAAAAGAAAAAGAAATGACAACTTTAAATGCATTATGATAAAGAAGATCCACATCATGCTGGTTGAATTACTTAAAATTTATTACCTCCTGACTCAACTCTCATGTTTTCATCAAATGTTTCAAATCCCACCACTTACACTGTTGCTTTTGACATTTGTCTAAAATCATGAAATATTAACTTTTACTTTCAGTAAAGATGTATACACTCTCCCCTGTTAGTTACAAGTGCAATGAGCAGTCAGTTACGACAATTGCCCACCTTCGTGATTCTTGTTTTTCAACCATTTGCTTCCTAATCGAGAATCCCAAAATATCTAGTTTTCTCATTCAGAAGCAATCCAACTAATCAGCAATCATGTCTGTCGAGCCACATCTAACTTTAAGGTAACTTCTTGGAACTATGCTTGTTCATAAATAATGAGACTATCAAATGATGAAATGGAATGTTCCATAGCTGTCCAATAGGGTAGTTATATTTTAAATATATGTATATATAACTGTTTACCTCTTTCAACTTATAGTGCTGTCTCTGACACTAACATGAGTAATTCAAACAATTGTCAAAAACCCCTATTGGAAAGTAATGGGACATTCCAAATTTCCAATAACTGTTGTCATGCGCTCTTCAGTGATCTCCTTACACAATGCACTAATACATATATGTGTATATATATATATATATATATATATATATAATAATTGAAAAAGTGACTGTATTTTACAAAATACTAGTCTACTAAAATACAGCCAAGACAGGTCACTCTGTAAAGGCCAGTTTTATATTATTGGATACGGTATCACGAGTGTTGAGTCATTGTAACTTCTAGATTGTTAGCCACGCATAGCTTAAAGGTGAATATAATAAAAATAATAAATATATATATAAATGTATAATGCTATGAGATTTTAGCTCTTTAGACTAAACATTAGTGTTTTTGTGTTACAATCTGTAGTCATTCTAGAACGAAAAAAGCATAATTTAAATTTATTTCCAAATTTTTTATGGTGGTTACGAGGCCAGTCAAATTGACAAAACCCATACAGACAATAGTGAAAATAAAAGATAAAATATAAATTTTTTTTCTGAAAATAATGTTTGACAATTATCCAGAAGTGATAAAGATTTCACATATGAAATTCGAAAATTTTCTAATGTATAAAAGTATTTTTTATCTTAAAATCAAAATTACTTTGCATGTTGGATAGTCAACATTCAAAAAGAAAAATGCATGAGGAGATCATAACTTAAAAAATCTTAAAACTTGATAAAAAAAATCTGATATCTTATGTATGAAAGCATTATAATGTCTACTCATAATCTGCAAAATTTTGTCAAGATACACTTATAGAATTGAAAGTTATAGCATAAAAACTATAACGAGCACAAAATGAGTATGAGGTTGGTCCCTGGGATCAACACATAGTGAAAGAGTTAAAAAGGACATAAAACTCCACAAATATTATGAGTCTCAAAAAGTTTACACAGTATTGTAATAGGTGACTTGATAAGTCAATCGTTTATTGTCTCTAAATGTTAAGCAGTGTAGTTGCATTTCATGTATGACACATTTTCTTGCACAAAGTTTAGGATTAAAAAAGTAGCTTCTGGGTTTTCATATTTTTTTCACCACATGATAAAATTTTGGACAAATTTCAGTCAATTTCATATGTTAATCTTATCAAAATGATACATGAACATGGTTAGAAGGTGATAGTTTTTTCAAAAAATGAAAATTATGGATAAAATTGTTTGAAATTTTAGAAGAACTTTCCTAAAAGTATTTAGTTTCAGAAAAATAAAATATTTTTTTCTACTATTTCTAATAGAAATTTGTTATTTAATGTAGATATTGATATTTTATTTTCCATTTTCTCTAACATATCACTAACTAGCTATTTTCATCTGTGTACAGTACAATGAAATGTTTAAATTAAGAAATAGAAATAAGTACATACCTTTTACCTTTTTTTTAATAATATTGGAATATCTTTTTAGGGTGTTATGCATCATTTCAAGTCTTTACCTTTTCACCTATAGTTTATTTTTAATGTTTTATTTTCTTTTTCTATTCTTTATATTTAAATATTTATGTCAATACACATCAATGAGCACCAAGGCAATATAATGTTATCATCGACAGAGATTTTTTAGCCACTGGCAAGATATAGTTTGCACTCAACTTGTTAGGAAAGACTTCAGGGGACAAAATAGTTTGGTGGATTGAATTTAATTAGCAATTAGCAAATATTGCTTAGCAACTTTTTAACATTCATCATTTTAACACATTATGCCAACTAAATCCAGCACTAAAACGTAACTATTTGTAAAGACGTACACTAATAAAAAAAAGAAAAAAGAGGTAAATGGTGTTTTTATTCTAATAACACTTTATTCATCTTCAGAACCTAATATTTAATTGTATCATACATGGCATTTCATGAACAAAATAGTTCTTGTTACATAAAGTAAAACTTCAAATTTGCAAGAAACACCTCAGCTGTCACAAGATAATACAACAATTGATTAACCAGAAAAAGAAGTGTCCTGAAGATATTGCAACTGAACAAGGTTGCCACAAATTGTTTTTCAAATTAATCTAGTTTATTTCTTTTTTTTTGGTAAAACCTCATCACTCTCTTCACAACGTGGTCCCCTTGGATTTTTGAAGAAGAAATTGTCCAGCCAGGGTTTGCAACCTGTCCAATCCTTTGTCCATGGATGATTGTGGATGCTTCTGAAACTCGGAGGCTGAGCTTCCCTCTTTGCTACTCTGTTTCTCAGTCAGATTGGCCTTCATCATATTCACATAACCTCTTCTGTCCTTGGTAGCGATCCAGACTTTGAAAGCAGTCCAGGTGGCCATGTAATTCTAGAAATACCATGGGAAAATATGTCTGTAATGTACAGAGTCTAGTTCACAGTTTCACATTGAGATTGTTTGGATATTCTTGTAAACATGAATTTGGTCATAGAAATGGTGCAGCTGATGTAATACTAGGTAATTTATACCCAGTTTCTGTAACAGCTTTATTCACTTTTCTGATAAACATAACTATAAATCATTGCTGGAATTAATTTTTCACATGGACAGATGACTTTTTGTGGAAGTGCACATTACTTCTTTGACAGAACTATATGTATTGTTCCCATTACACTGGTTACTGGCAATATATTACACCAACTGTATTTAACATCACAGTAAACCACTTGTGCTTTAGAAGACACTGATATTCCAATTACTGTATATATGTTGTATTCTGTTTCTGGTTTTAACTGGCTGGCTGGCTTTGAATGCTTTCACAGCAATAATGGAGCACGCCTGTTCCACAGATCATGCTAGCAGGTAACAAGATCAGGCAGTGTTATATCAGTAGCAGTGCTTACAAAAATCTCAAATTCAGTTCTATGTATTCTTATAAGCATGTACTGAGCTATGCTTAATCGTGAAAGTACTGAGCTAACTATTACATCTTCAATACAAGTAGGCTACTACACCTAATCAAATTGGTGGTCAAATCCAATCTGAGATCCGCTAGTTAGATGAAGTTAGAGCAATAGCATCCCTGGTTTATCAACCTTCTTACATCTGTTTAACAGTAAGTCAAAAGGATACATTCTGTCTTTCCTCTCATGCAAAATTATAGAGACAGTTTCTTTTCCAATGTTCATAATGTGTATACTTAAAATAGACTGTCCATTCTTTTTAAGCTTCTTATTATAGGAATTATCCTGCTGCATAGACATGGATAGTACTGACATGAACCAATATAGCTGCACTGTGATACGAGGCAATGCTTGGCAGCATCAGGACTTGGGATAAATAGTTTTGAATCTGCTGATATGTTACCTTTTTCAGAAGTACATCCCTAAGAAGGCTATACTACAGCAGCTGACTTCCTATTTTTTGTCAGTTATTTCCCATAAAACTTGGATAGTTGGAATACTCAGACACACTAATTTCAAGTAGTTGATTATTTTCATGAATTGTGACACTAATCAATTAAACTGAACAACCTTGAATTAATTGAAAATACATATATATGAAGTTTAGATAAGATAAGCTATTTGACAACACATATACAGAAAAGAAACATTAAGTTTGCTAGATGTACCTGGTTTATTGGATTGCTGGTATTTTAAGAAATACCACATTTTTTGCAATGAATTGAAAAATTCACCCTTAAAACTACATGTTAAATCCATTGTTCTGAACTAGCCATATATAGGTTGCTAGTTACTAAAGGCTATTAATACTGTAATACTTAACTCTTTCCATATGGATGCACTTTCCTGTGCATGTCGCAAGGTTCTACTGGGTTACATTAAAAATATAATCAAGCTACTTTATTATCATATTATATGAATATACATCAAAAAGTGTGTTAATTAATCATATTTTAAAATTATATAAGTTTTAAGTTCTTAACCCTATGAAATAGGGCTGGGTGGGATACACCCAGCTCGTAAACACGAAAGTAATGACACTATAATTTTTGATAATGTACGTGGATCTTTAAAAATTTTGCAGATTATTAGTAAACATTACAAAGCTTTCATACACAAAATATCAGGTTTTTAAATTAAGTAGTAAGATTTTTTTTTTTATTAAAGATTTGCTTATAAATTTTTCAATGTGCAAAGTAATTTTGATTTTAAGATTAAAAATACTTTTCTTCACCTGAAAATTGTCAAATTTCATTTCTGTAATCTCTATATCCTTCTAGGTAATCACTAAACATTGTTTTGAATAAAACTGTACTTAATCTGTTATTTTATCAATGCTAATTCTATATGTTGTCGGTCAATTTGACTGATATCGTAACCACCATAGAAATTAGGAAATAAATCTAAATAATATTTTCTTTAGCAGATTGTACCATGAAACTACAAATGTTTATTCTAAATAGCTTAAATCTCATAATAGTATACATCTATTTATATTTATTAATTTTTGTTTTAGTGACGTTTGAACAGTGTCTGACAAAAAAAATACAATGACACAAGTTGACAATTACGTGGTGCACATGCAGCTCATTTGACCCTATCAAATAGCATAATGCACAAGCTACTGGCACATATACCCCATGAAGATTTTTACTACTTTTCTTTTGTTATCTTATCTAACAAGTTTTTATTTTTTACATTTTAGTTACTTTTATAATAAAAAAATAGTGAAAACAAATGAAAAATAAAAAAACCTCATGACATTTTCAGTAAAGCTTTATATTTTATCTGTTATTTTCTTTACTGTAACATTATACTTAGTTCTCCAGGTTGTTGGTAAGTAATCAAAGTATAATGAAAATAAATGGTGCAGATACAAAATAAAATGTATAGTATTGTTAGTATTGATCATAAAATTTCAAAGTACTTATGGTCAGAGTTTACACTTCTCACCTTCACACTTATTTTCTGCAGTTATTTTATTCTAGCAGATGTCTTAGAAACTAGAAGAAATAAAATACTACTCTCTGACCTTTTCATTATGGACAACAAAGTTCCAAAGTAAATCTCCTGAGAGTTTCTTCTAATCTTTTTATACCTATTTCCTATATTTATTCTACTGTTAGAGGCTGAAGTAGAAACCTGCAGAATATAAAGCAATAAATTGCTAACTTGATACTTAGCAATTTTTTTATAATACTTACTTTCAAATTAAGAAATTATCTAATGTATAGTACTAACATTTTAATTAAAATCTACAATTTGATACCAAGTTTTGGATTGAAGCTGTGGATTGAGGATTTTGAAATGAATTACTCCTTTGATGCCCCACCAAATGCAAAGCATCACTTACTGCTGATGGAGTGCAAGTTTTAGGGTCAGAAATGGTTTTCGTCTAGGACTGAGCCATTGTTTTTGGAGTTTAATATTTGCATAGAGAATACATTTTTCATCACCAGTAACAATTCTGTCCAAAAATGGTTCACGCGCATTATGCGACAGAAGAGACGAAGCAACATTCACACGTTGTAAACGATGATCATCGGAGAGTTAACGAGGTACCCAAACACCTTTTTTTAAGGAGTTTTCACATATTCCTTAGATGTTTATGTATTGTTTTATGAGAGACATGCAATTTCAGGGCTATTTCATGAGTGTGTTGCCTTGGGTTGGACTCAACAAGCGTCTTCAGAGCATCAATATCAATTCCAACATGTCAGCCCCTGTCATCACAGTTTTTAAGGCTAAAGTCACCTGAATGAAATTTGCTGAACTATCGTTGACACTTACGAACGTTCAAAACATTTCCATAAACTTCTTTGATATTCTTTGTGGCTGCAGAGGCATTGTTTCCCTTCTTGTATTTAAACAGCATTACATGCCGAATATGTCTCTCATTGTGTACCATCACTATAAGGGATTAGAGTACACTAAACTTTACACATTATATAGGCTACACTAACGTGACATTTAACTATTATCCATTTTTTGGGGTGTGGTTAATGAAAGTGTTCTAAAACGTGACATTAATTTCTTGATGACCTGATACTTATAATTTAAATTATGATAACCCACATGCATTATCTTGCATTTATTGTAAATAACACTCATCTGCCAATTATTCACCTGAGTCACTAAATTATCTAAATCCTTTTGTAAAGCAGCAACATCCTCCTCTCAAAACTCAAGACCTTAATATCATCAACAAATTTCACTAATTTATTGACTATTCCTTCATCTACATCATTGATACATATCAAAAAGAGCAAAGGTTCTAAGATTAAGCCCTGAGTATCCCACTTGTGACATTAATCCAGTTTGACTTAACTCCATTTATAACGGAACTCTGCTTTCCTCCATCCAGCTACTCTTCTATCCAATTAGCTAACTTATTCCCCACACCTATAAAGGTAATTTTTTTACAAGCCTTTTATGTGGCACTTTGTCAAATGCTTTGTGAAAATCCAGATACACCAAACCTACACCCTTACCCTCATCTAAAAAAGTTGTAACCTTTTCAAAGAATGTCAAAAGATTTGTAAGAAAATCGAAGCTAACCAGAATATTCATAAAACATCAAGGCATAAATCTTGGGAGTTTTGAGTTCTATTTTGAAAAGTGTACATCAAGTGCATCTATCTAGTCTATTAATACAAAGCTAGTTCTAGTACCTTTAGTAAAAAAAAAAAAGTAGGGTTAAGTTTCATTAACAGTTGATAGCAAAAAAAAAAACAAACAAACCTGGTAAGTACTATATTTCTTTTCAAGTGTGTTTTTATTTGTTATTATAGAAGTAATTAAAATATAAAAATTAGAAACTTATTAGGTTGGATATTGTAAGATTAGGTAAAATAAATAATAATAATTTTTCATGGGGTATGCTCTCAAGTAGATCGCAAGTAACTGTGCATTACATAATTCAATAAGGTAATGTGAGCTACACTTTCATTGAGTGATTTAAAAACTTGTGTGATGAGATTATTAGTTATGGTTCAAAAAGCAATAAAACAATAAATATTAAATAGAAATAGATGTATACTCTTATGAACTTTAAGCTACTTAGGATAAACAAGTCTAGTTTTCTGTTACGATTTGAAATCATTATAGAAAAACAAAAGGGTAATTTAGATTTATTTTGTATTTTTTTTATGGTGGTTACAAGTTGGTCAATTGAGCAACTTCATATGGAGTTAGGATAGAGAAAATACAAGATAAAATATAATATTTTTCTGAATAAAATGTTGAAAATTTATTTAGGAAATTTTAGAATTTATGCAAATGAAATTTGTCAATTTACAGATGTAGAAAAGTATTTTAATTTTTAGATGAAAATCACCTTGCACTTGGAGCATTCAACGTTTTGGCTCCATATATTCATGGAGAAATATTTAATGAAAATATTTCCTTAAAACTTTTGATATTTTGCCTGCAAAAGACGTGTAATGTTGACTGAAATCTTGTGAAATTTTGTGAAGATACACAAAACATAAGTTATAGTAAGGAATTTCTAAAGGTCAAATTAGGGTCATGAACTCAGTCAATTCAACAGAGCTCATAGTGCTAGAGTTAAAACATTTAAATGCTCTTTTATTTCATTAACTTATTGAGTAGTATTTGGATTTGGTGTGTGTGTATATATCTATATCTATATATATATATATATATATATATATATATCACATGATCCACATGCTGTAGGCATTATATTTATGTTACTCTAATTTCGTTTTTAATTGGATGATCCTCAACCTCGTAACACTGAGGACGGGTTGTGGAGTCTCGTCTGTCTGTTTGAGGTTGGCTAGTTGCTTTTCTACATCATTATATTTCATGGAACTGTCCCTTGACTCGTCATTTCTCATCTTGTGGGTATCAAGCATGCTTTGATTTTTCGTTTTATAGAAACAGCTCTTCACCTATGGAAGCTGGCTGTTTTCCAGTTTGGTTTGTGTGATGGAGTACAATTCAAACTTGCACCATTTTTTACTGTAGATTGCACCTCTCATAATGTCTTAAGCTTGTGCACATTCTTTTTTTCGACCCCTGTCAGGTTAATTTCCTTCTTACAGGGTGAGGAGCTTACCTGTTCCAGAAGTAGTGCAGTGCCCCACATGTGTGCTTTAGTTTTGTCTTTGAGCACACCAGTTATTTCTAGGCAGTTGGTTTTAACTGTTAGGTGCCTACACAGGCCCCTCCATGTTTTCAATGTGGGGTTCTAGCTTTGTGTGAGAGGAAGTAAAACCATATTGTAAGTTAACATTTTCTTAAAAACTGAAAGTGTATTTCTGATTGGTACTTGCCTCATCTCAAAACCTTCCTCCTCACTGCCAATGTTATTCATTTTAGGTCCCACCAATTCTCAAAAGTGAGGATTGAGCAGGAACATTAGAGGGTACTAGCTGCACCAATATAGGTGGCCACAATACTATTGGTGGAGGGTGGTCACATGTTATATACATATTCAAAAGTGACACAAAATAGACTGGTGCACTGAGCATTAAATTTTTTACAATGCTTAGTGGCAGAAATAAAATCGAGATAGCTTTGAGGGAGAGGAGGTAAGTACTATCAGAAATACATTTTCAGTGTAAGAAAGTGTTAACTTCTGAAATATTAAAAGCCTTTCTTTGTTGAGTTGCTCGTATGCTGTCAACAATCATGTGATTCAAGGTTTTGAATGTTACTAAAGTAATACAGAGCATGTGTCAACTTACATTCTCCATTTTCCCACCATCCTTGTGACTTATTGAGCATGCATGCTTGAGGCAATCTTACATAAACTTTGCTTTCCAGTGTGGTTCAGATTTTATTGTTGACTGTCATGCTGCTAACTTTATTATGAATTCTGAAGTTAGTGTCAGTTCTGATACCAATGCTTCTACAAATATGGAGAATTCCTTGGAGGCTTACCCACACAGTCTGTGGGGACTTCCTGTGGCTACATTGTAGGCACATATTTTCCAACATATTTGGGGTTTTAATGCTGAATTATGTGCTGGTGTCCCTGGTGAGACTTTTTAATCCACTCCCTGACATTTTTCAGTTGATCTGTGGGATATTTGGGTTTGATAGATCCATCAGTTTGTTCTTTACTTTTATTTTTCTCATATCCTTCAGAAAGGAGGCATTAAAATTACTTATCACACTTCTCCAGGTTTTTGTTGTCCAAAGAAAACACGAGATTGGAGACTTGTCATAGACCTGTCTCAACTCAGTATTTACTTGGAAACATCTCATTTCAAAATGGAAAACAGAAGATTGTTTCCTCATTGTGGCCAATAAATGACAAATGTATATATATGAGCCTTATTTTCATATCCTTATTCAATTATCATCATGTCTGTTTCTGTGTTTTTGCCATGGGAATGGTTTATCAGTTCATTGCCCTTCCCTTTGATTTACCTTTAGCTCTGCCCACTTTTTTTGAAGCATTTAAAGTGTTTGCTGGTTTTTTTTTTTGGTTTTTTTATGTTGACTTTCAATCTTACATGGAGGATTGGCTTATTCTGTCCCTTTTTCCTACACTGTGTCTTACACTATCTTAGTTGACCACTCAGGTAACCATATCTCTTGGGTAGATCATCCACACCTTCAAATCCAATTTAACACAATGTTTGGTACCTCTGGGATTTTAGATCAGTGTGGTTCAGGGATATTTTATCTGTCTCATATGGCCATGCAAACCTTGGAGTCTTGTGTACATACTCTTCTGTCTTCCAGTCGTATTTCCAGAGACATTCTTTATGCTTTGCAGACCTTTGACCCACTGTCATAACTGTTTCTTTCATTACTTTTTTATTTCTTCAATTTTGACTGATATGAAAGTTTCTGAGATCACATTTTCTTCCTCATCCTGTAGACCATTTTATCACAAATGTTTCTGTAATGGATTGAGGCTCTTTTTTGGGGAATATGCATTGTTCTGACTCTTAGAATCTTCACAAAGCAACAGGCTGTTCAGTGTGCTTGTTTCGAGTTTCTTCTCTTGTACACCACTATTTTGTGTTGGTTCATGCAGACAATTATACTTTTGTAGCTTACATCAACAATCAGGGTGATACTCATTCTTGTAACTTTCACTTTGCTCCCGTTTCTCAACTTCTTTGGCTTCATTGTCAGTGTTTTCCTGCTTCGGTCTACCAATTGAACTGTCCTAAAGCTGTACAGCTCATCTTTGGGTTTGCCCGCTTCTTTTGTAACTTTACCAGTCTTTTCTGATGTGGATGTAGAATAATTTAGTTCCAGCAACATATTCCAACTATTAGATATTACTGGTCTATTTCTCTGACAATCTTTCATTACAGATACTAGATATTGCATAGTACTCAGACTCAGATTACTTGTTAAGCCACCACCTTTGACTACACACGAGTATGTGATGGTTCCACAGTTACATATATGCCACCCAACATCCTTCATAACTCTTCCAATATGGGGTTGGTCAATATGATTACCTTGTAACCATTTTGTGCTTGTTATAGTTTTCATGCTATAACTTTTCAATTAATAAATGAATGTTAAGGAAATTTGGCATATTATCAGTAAACATTACAATGCTTTCATAAGCAAAATATATAATTTTTTATTAAGTCGTAAGGTTTATAAATCAGTGTTTCTCTCATGCCTTTTCC